GGTAAAGGATACTAACTCCCTTGAGCGTGTCCAGCTTGTGAGAACGAAATTAGTGAAGGGTCTCTCTAGCGTTTAAAACGCCTAAATCTTTTCCCCTTGTCGTATCGTAGGACACGAGGTGACCTTATGCTGGCATTTCGTATCTTTAATTATGATTTGGGTGTTAATATGTCTTATCTTTTTACTTCCTTCAGGACTAATAGTCTCCGAGGTCACAGCAAGAATGTTCACAAACCACGATCTAATAAACTTAAAGTGGGGTCCTGTTTTTCTCATCGAGCAGTCAATGATTGTAACGTCTTACTCGAACAAGTGGTATCAGCCTCATCAGTGCATACTTTCAAGTAGAAGCTTGACCTTCACTGGAAAGCAATGTGTCAGGATTAGTACCGGTTCACCAACATACTATCCTTATTACTGAAGACTGAAGACTGAGGACTGTAACTGTTGTTTTAGTCAATGACCTTGAACTCACTTTCCGTTGTGTAACTATATAGCATGATACACTTGTGGTTGTTCTCAAATACACTGCTACACACACACTCCTTGTCCTACTCTCACTCGTTATTGAGCTAATTGCATCTTAAATCGAATATTACACTATTGGAGAGTTCAACAACCTGTACGGAATTATCGAATATTTATAATTGTGGATTTACAATACCAGATCCAATCAGAACACGCAACACTTGGTGAATTTAAGTAAAGTCAATATTTTTATGTCATTATTATTTACTCTTTATGACTTGGTTAGCACTTTTTCGCGTTCATATTTGTCTGGTCCACCACAGCTCGATGTACGTGTAACTCAGTGATCTGTGAAACCCAGTAATAAACTGTAGTCGCCGCTTCTTGTTGCCTTTTGATTTCACACAATGTTGAGATTTATATAATACCTGTAAGGTCTATTTTTAATGTTTTGTGTGTGAAAATCCCTGCAAGTACACACTTGTAGTTTGTTCCTATTGATTCCCTTAGTTGTACATTTTGTTAGTATTTTGATTCCATTTGAGTTGGTAATATCTGTACTTTACCATGCTTTTTTATTTTTTTACGCCTTCAGTAAGTTTCCATGTTTCTTCCTGAACTGCATTTGCGCTGTTTTACTTGATACTTAGTCCTAGCGACAGCCATATTGGTTTGTTCCTCTTTTTGATTGTGTTGCTTGTATTGACTGGAGTTGTGCATTTTTGATTGTGAATTGAAGCACTCTTCCAGAAATGGAAACACTCTATGTTATAAAGCAACCAAATATTATCTTCTTAGCGAATCTGTGTGTGGTCTATCCAGACAGGACAAAATAACATTTATTTGTTGCGACTGGTAATTTTCTCTCATCCTTTATCAACTTCCTTATTTATTGTAATTTGGATTTGATTAATTTGACAATTATTGGTTGAATAGCTGGGTGGTAATTTTTTTAGGGAGCAATGTATATTTGAATTTATAATGAATTTTGAAACCGTCATTTTACCCAATCACTTTGTTTTGGTTTCAACCGGACAAAGGAGCGTATCTAACCCACCTAGACAGTCTTCAGTCCGGATCTTAGTTTCGATCTAACAATACCGGTTATCAAGATGATGGAATAACAGAGCTAAGCCACTACGTATTTGTCAAACCATTGCACGCGCATATTTGCTTGATTTGGGACCATTCTGTATCACTCAGAATGAAACACAACTTCGCTTTGCAAAGGTTGGATACCTTGAACATCAGTAATACCGGTGAAAAAGTAGAGGAAACACTATCTGGTCTGGTGTTTCCGAATGTTCACAGTAATGCCATGCTGTACGATTCGCTTTAAAATAATGTCAAGATGCTGGAAATGCAATTCTCCGTCCGGACGTGTTGTCAACCTGTCATCTATATACGCATGCACGTAGTTGATTCCTCTTAATGAGTCATTGCTGAATGTCTGACAAATTTGTGCAGCATCCATTAAACCTAAAGGCACGCGCAAAATTCGTAGAATTCAAAAGGTGTGATAATAGCAGCTTAAGGCATGTTGTCTGCAGCTATAAGAATTTAGTTATATGCTTTAACCAAATTGGTTACCCGGAAAACAGTTGTACCTTTCAAGGCGGTTGTCAGGTCGTAGATGTGTGGCAAACAGTAACAATCCGGTTTGAATTTTGTATGAAGTCTCCGATAATCGCCGTTTGGAACCTAATCGTCACTGTCCTTTTAAAGTACTATGTGCAAAGGTGATGCCCATGGGCTAATGTATGGCCAGGAAAGTTCAAATTTTATTTTACGCTGTGATTCGTTTTTGACCAACCTTGTCTTTATGAAGCTAGTCGATAACCTCTAGAAAGTACAGGTTAGCGATGCGATGAGTGACATTGGTGGTTACACATGGTGGTTTCGTTCGCGTCTCGTAAAGTTCAGAGTACTTATCGAGAGTCTGTTGAAAGTATGAACCGATCATATTTATAGTCGTGACTACCAGAAAAAGAAACTCCACGATTAGATAACTCTGTATTGACGTCTACTAACCTCCGTTCAATAGGGTCAATGAGTAGATTTGGGTCTTGCAGCATGTTTGCCAATTATTGGGACTGACACGTCTGCAACAACAAAAATCCGGTGAATGAGTTCGCCTAAACTTGTAATTTTCAACCTTTGATAGGTTTTTCTCTAGCTTGAATGTACTTTTTGTGCTAAAGTGTGTCAGTGGCAGTAAGTGAAATTATCTGGAAGGGAAAAGAACAAGTGAAACAATTAGTCGATCACTCAGTGAGCACCTAGAATGTACTTGTAATGGCAATGGGACCTAATCACACAATCCTCAAAGGTGAACGCAAAACAACTGGGGAAACAGATATTCGACATTTAACGCGGAGAAAGGCCGAACAAAGGAGACAGCGGGAAGAATTAGTTCATATCACCGGATAGCATGGCTCAGCCTTGCAAGCATGGTCATTCCTGTGTAACGTACCTCCTTTATTCATATTAAATTTATTGTTCTATCGCCATCCTAAATGTGTCCCCCGCCATATATTGGTGATTACGATAGGACGAGTCAGTGTAGACAATGCTGTGACTTACACGTGAGATCTCATAGATTAGGTAGTCAAATCATGGGAAATCTGCTTTTTTAGGATCAGTTCTGTTATTAGAGCAATACTAATAAAGAAGAATACCATAGTTCTACATACTTACTTTTATAAACGAAAGCAAATGTCAACCTTCAGAAATGATACGAGAGTGGGATTTAAATAATATAATAACCGAAGCAACAGGTTGATAGTGCAAGGTTTGGAAGGTGTTACAAACCCACGTTAAGACAAACATGCATTTCACCGATCGTGGCGATAAGTTTGAAGACGGTCATTTCTGTCCTCATGAAGAACTCCTACTTCTGCTCTAGAGTCAACGAGATAGCGAACTTTCGTCATCACGTCAGTGACGCATATCGGGCAACTATTTTCACCGGCTGCAGTTGTCGTTGACGCGTGCCAGCAAGAAAGTTTCCTCAAAGGTTTTATCGTGGTGGAAGATTTGAAGTTTTAGAGACTACATGGTTTTATTCCATTTCTAGAAGACTGGCCATGAGTGTTTCGATACCGACATTATTCAGAGCTAGCTCTCTCATGGTCTAAAGGTAGATCCATTTTGATGACAGGCTTCTTTGGGTAGTTGTAAGGCACCACGATTATGATGATCACTAAAGTACCGAAGAAGAGTGTTATGGAGATGTGTGATGTTATTTGTATCGCTTGAAGATTTTCTTTGACAGAATAAGCCTTGGTGCTGGTGTTCTGGTAATCTCCAGAATCGAGTTGATAAATACAGCCAGTTCGCCGACAAAATTGTTCCGAAATGAGTTGAGAATCGCTAGCACCTGTTGGGGAGGCCTAGGTAAGGACGGTTATCTAAAAAGGCTCACATAGAAAGTTTGCGTGTGTAGCAACATTTCCATTTCTGAGGCGTGATGTGATTCGAAGTTGCTGAAGAGCTCTTCTAACATCTGTCGATCGGTCACGTTTCTCCGTTTGAGGATGGCCTATTCCAAGGTGTCATAGGGTTCAAAAACATCAATGACGTACCTCCTTAAGTTACTCAGCAGTGCAATTACTACTGCGACAAATTACGAACGTGGATCTATTGCATTTTACACGTAGCAGTCAACTTCTGCTCAGTAGAACCAGGTTTCCGGCCAGAAATGTTTTGAGATGAAGGCGTGGCGGTGTAAGCACAGAGATCTTTAACAGTTTGGGTGTCTGTATCGTTATTATGAAGATAAAATATGTAAATGGGCTAAGAAATCCGACGACAAAATAATAATTTCACGATAAGTAAAAAAATGATACATAATGTTATAACAAAGAACAAACTCACAGCACCAAATTACGTCATATTTCATCACTAAAAGCGCCACAGATATACAGAGTTAAGAACACGTTTGCCACTAACACTTCTATGGTCAAAGGATATCATACCAGTCAAACCGGAAGATAATATGAATGGATTCGAGGGTGTATTTGGTAGGTTTTTGATGTGTTAAAATCATTTGATCTAAGCTGACTAGTAGTTTTATCGGTGGATGAGTAGATACGCCATGGTGGCTCCACAGTCCTCTCCGATAGCCTTCAAAGTACGTCTCAGTGATTACTGAGCGTCCGGAATATACTAGTAAGAGAAAGTTAAACAAATGGGTATAAACACGTAAACTGCTTAAAAACCATTTTGAAAACTGGACAAATCACCAAAAGATTAGTTATTCTATTAATAGAAAACTTTATCATTCTCTATCTTTTGGGTTTTTATTACAATGAGAAACAAATAACAGCAGCGTCCCAGCAGTCTGGATCTTCTGGGAAAACATTAATCATAATTTAAAAATCTCCTCAGAATATTCGGCGAACATTGTAAACAAGTAGTTGAATAAGCTTTACTCGATTTTTGCATAAATCTTACACTTTCGAATTACACTGAGACACTAATATAAAATAAGTTGCTCGGTTGGTATTCCGAATAATCAGACATTGAACATCAAAGTCAGAGCGTTCCGTTTCAATAATTTTTAAGTTGTCGCCCTATCTGGATTACTAGGACTTTTTTCGGGATAATACATATGTATTACGCGTTTCCCTTCTAAACTCACTGTTTTCGTAGTTTTGCTTCACAATCGAATGTCTGTTTTTTGAAACTTTGTCTTGAGAAAGGGAATTAATTTATTAATTTACGAAGGATGGTTTCACTTCATACAAACATAAGTCGAGACAGCCAATAACTATGAACCTAAAGGTTGACGATATGATCACTCTTCATCTTCTATTGTTCAGCACCATAAATACAACGACTTTTCAGTTGATATTCCTCTTAACAGATAAACCGTGTTCGCTAGAACATGACAGACTAGTTAATCCTCTAAAGAAATAACGCTTCATGGAAACGTAGTAAAAGGTCTAGAAGCTATTATCATAAAGTAAATAAGATAAATAAATTTATATGTGGACTCAAACAAATGCTTAACTATGGAAATAATCCACAATGGCAGTGATTTTATTATTATGATACTGGTTTATTAGGAAGTGCATAGTTTTTTTGCAGTTTTCATACTGATAATCTCCAGACTCACGTTGGTTTTTTGATTTAGTCGAGTCATGTAACAGGGTTCAGAAAAAGTGGCGAAAAGTTGGTTCATTCAGTCAGTCAAATGCAACTTAAGACGTGGTGCGCGTGTACATCAGTTCAAGCTGTCATACTGCATGAACATGGCGATATGAAATCGTCAAAAAAATTTCAAAGTACTAAATTTCAAATATAGGCCATGTGTTGATCGTCTCACTTATAGCTGGATATTACACTTATTTCACCAAGGGGCCACGATGCGTTTAGCCGAAAAATTATTATTGGTTGTTATACGAATATGGTAAACTTTAATTTTCGATTTAAAATTTCCGGGATTGGATTAATCTCTAGTGACACATTTTGTGAAAAATGGTAATAATCGAAAAAAACTTGTGCCATATGCAAACAACTTTATCACCAGTTTATATGGCTTCTAATGGTACTGATTGACCTTGATAATTTGGATAAGGTTAAAAGCAACATTATCAGGGAAAGCTTAATTATTTACTAGCTGACTTATCATCTTCATAGCGATGGTATACATGACAAAAGTTCATCAAAAGTTCGGGGACTTTCCGGAGCATTTCGTGATCATATTTGATATAGGATGATTTTCAGATGAACAACATAAAATTAAACCAATGTTCATCTCGGGATTTAGATATGCACTTACTATAGTACTATTCATATGATCTTTAATAGTAATAAGCCACTCTTATAAATTGTGTAGTCATTTCTGGTCTTTTTAACATAGAGAATGTCTTTTGAATATTTAATATTATTTTTTCTGTTATAGATGTTTGTCATTAATTACCCATAGTCTTATTCAGAACATAAAGATGCTATGAATTCCACTTTACACTCTGCGGACTCCAGTGTTATCCAAACCAGTTTATTTGGTCAGTATAACAGGACTGGGGATCCAACTAGCCTATGGTGTGATGAATCTTTGGAAAACCCAGACTCTATGTTGGATCAATGCAAATGCTACACAAGTACTCCAAGTTCTTTTTCTACTACTTCAGAGAGCACATCTTATTCGCGTGATCTTTATGTTACATCTAGACTACGAAGTCGGTCTGAAGAGAAAAACCGTAAATCGGAGCATCCCTTTTATCTATCTCATTCCGTAATCAATTATTTAAAATTGGACAAATTATCTAACAAAATGTGTCCTGGTTGTGTTCCTTGTTCTTCTGATGATAAACTACGATCAAGTATGTACTCCGAAGAAAAAGACGATTTGAATGTCACTCAAAAGGACTTCCAACAGGTAGGCATTAGATAGAATATAAATTGTCGATGATATTTCTCACACTTATCGTGCCTCACTTATATGCATCTGGCCGGATGTCTTAGTTTTAGCGTCCAGAAAATGTGATGTTCTCTAGACTTCAGGTAAAATATCAAACAAAAAGACGAGCCTTGCAGGAGTATTTTGTAACCGGACTTGGAATATATATATATATAAATATATATATATATATATATAGTCAGCAACTGGTTTCAACAAAATTGCTTCTCACATCTGCTTCCGTTTATAACTTTAAACAAGACAAAAACCATAAGATTGATGAGCTTAAATTAATTCATTGTCCTTCAAGATTTCTCATGAGATACAAACAGCATAAAATTACTTTAAGTAATGTTATTTGGTACGAATGTTTTACATAAGTTGGTTGGTGAATTAGGTATTTTAAACAAAACATTCTATGAAAAGAAGGAAACGCACAGTTTAGTGATAAACAGTTACGACTACTGCGTCTTTGTATACTGAGAAAAAGCTAGTCATGAAAATTATTAGATGGGTTATGGTTACTAGTTACTATAATACAAAGTTTTGGTTCATCTTGTGAATGAATTGGCTTAAAAATTATAATTCACATCGTTGCAATGTTCCATAGCATTTTCTTTTTACTCTTTAAGGGTAACAAATTCAAGCGCAAAGGAAACCAGTCGTTTAAATCAAGTTCGTCAGTCTGGTATAGCGATGATTCCGACTCAGTCCCTCCAGCGATGGCTCTCATAAATGTAAATCGACTTCATACCCAAACCTTGCATCCAGCTACATTAAATGAGAACAGAATAATTGCAAAAAATAACATTTTATATGATTTCAACACTGAGTTTGATGTCGCTGGATCAAAAATATCAAAAACATTTTTGAACGCTTCAAGAAAATCTCTTCCAGCAATCCATCTTGATCGTGATTTAGAAGTAAGCGGCAGTAGCGGTACCAGTAGTCTTTCTTATACGGCTGTGATTGGTAACGAGGCGGAATATATTCAGCCGGATAAACGCTTAGAGCCATTCTCTGATGAATCTAACAAGCACCACTTAAATTCTCTGCATTTCGGGCAAATCGGTGCATCCGCGAGAGATTCTGGCTTAAGTTCACATTCAAGCAATTCTGTAAATTATTCCCCTAACTATCTTCTGCTCCCTCATAAAGGATTGGTTCCTGAGTGTAAAACTAGTCTCTCTTCGACACCTCCACCAGTTCCAAGTCACGCCCCTCAATCACAAACTATGATTGCACTTACACAAAGGAACGGAAATAGTAAGATATCTAATTTCGTTTAATAATAAATGAAGTGGGTTTTACTTATTTTTTTCATCTTTCACAATATCTTTATAAGGAAAGATGGATAGAGGCTAGCAGTGGGATCCAGGGCGCTCGTTCCGTCCTATTTGAGATTCGTCAGCCGGATATACCTGCATCTCAGAGTTGATATTCACTCTGGGACTCAAACCCAGTACCGTTCACCTCAAACGCCATCGCGTTATCCACTTAGCTACTGAGTCCTAATAGCTACTTGCTTACTTGCTAGCCACTATCCATCTTTGCTTATAATGGTTGTGAATTAAGAAAATATCGAGGTAATAAGCATAGTATGTTCATATGCCAACAACAGACTGATCAATTTCAGTCCTAAACATCAATGGGAAGATTCAATTAAACAATACCAAGTGAATATCATAATATCTTTGTTTGGAACGAACTCATTATAGTATATTCCGAGTATTTGCATCATATATGAAATGATTCTGAAGAGTTTTCGTCAACCGTTTGGGATATTTGAATAAATCAAACTCTGATTAGCTATTAAAAAACCATTAAACTTTCACGAATTGATTGATTGAGGATCAACTAATCAGAAAAATGCCAGTAAATGAAGTTGGAAATAAGTGTTTGAATCATTTTGACAACTGCTGTATCAGACCCATATTCATTTTTATTCCATTAAATGCTGCACAACAATGATATGGGTTTAATATCCATTAGCGATATAGTTCAGCAGTTTATCAGGTAAGTTAAGGTGGTAGAAAAACTCTATCCTTATCCCGTTGACTCATTTTAATAAGGGTGTGAATCACTCAAGCAACCTCAGAACTTCTGTATTACCATTCCCAATATTCTCTGAAGTAATTTTTTAAAGACCTCGAGATATTTAGTTTGTTTTCCTGTATAGCATTTATGATTTTTAGTTAAATAAAGTACGCTGAAGAACTCTTACTTTTTATTATTTTAACTTAATCAAAAATCTCTTATAACTGTTAACATGAGCTGTACTGTATTGTCGATGTGTTGATAAGAAGCACAATGCTGTATTGGCTGATAGCAGGTTAAGAATTCCTATGATTTAGAAATTGTGTAAATACTTTTCGGCTTACGAAATGAAACCCTTTCATAGTTATATGTTACCACACGGAGCGGTGACCTAGTGCTTACGGTATTCGTCATTCAGCCACTAAAATCCAGGTTCCAATCTTGTTCCACCTACTTGGGTTTGAGCAACCGAGTTATATCATTAGCCCTTACACTAAGAGTGCGGGTAATCCCCAAGTACTTAATAAGTTAATTAATTTGTCCATAACTTATTTCATTTTTGTTACCAATAGTCAGTTTTTTAGCATCTTATTTTTATACTGACTTAATACGTTTTCTTTGCTAAAGAGTTGCAATTCGTATTTACTCTTAGCTACAACTCACTAATGAATAGAGATGAAACATTTCCATAGTTCTCTAAATGTCATATGTTCTGTTGTACACTTAACCAATAATTTAAACATAACTGATCAAAGATAGAATAGGTAAGAAACGCGTAACTTCAGAACTGACTGATAACGACTTTAATGTTCAACTAACATCACACTTAATATTTTGAAATCACTAGTTGCATTATACCATTTTGCTCTCTGTTTAAAAATACCACCTTTTTAATACATGTTTTGTTTTGTATTAATTTTTTAATGAATAAATTTGTTACATTCAAGGTATTTTAAATACAACCAATTTAGTACGTTGTGAAACTGACCTTACAAAGTGTACATGCTCCAAAAGTTCAAGCAGTAAAATGGTAGAAGGAAGAATTCGTGGAACAACTATCCGATTGCATTCATATACGGGAGAATCTAAAACTCTCTTAAAGGTAAGTACATAAACGTGATACACATTGTCTTTAACTGAGCATCAATCTATTTCATTACGGCTTTATTTTATACTCACATAACTTTACTGTAATTCTCTTACGGTACATTTGATAAAACTTGCCTTATGGTAATCAATAGATTGTTCTTAGTAACAGGAGCAACAATAAAGTGTTGGTTTGCAAACCAACTATGCTCAGTTTTTTGTAGACATTCGATAAAATTTAGCCAAGGATAGACATAATCTTTGCATTAAGAGTTGTTTTCCTCATACATTGAGTATATGTTCAGTGACTTCTAATTGATGAACATAGTGATAGTTAGGTCAATGTTTTCATACTTTACTCCCAGGATTTTTGTAACTTAGTCTAACGAGAAATTAGTCAATATCATTCTTGCTAAATATGCGTAGACTTTAATTTTAGGAATTGGTTACAGATTATTTGACATGTTTTTGATATTGAAATCTACGCTTAATAATATTTCTGATTAGGAAGAGAGTTCTAATCATTATTAGACCTGAGAAATCTTAATTTTCCATCATTGGTCTAGTATATTTGTATTCGATTTCAGACTGGATTATGATTTCATTTAGTCATTCCATTAGTCACATGTGCATACAGTAAACACATGCATCAGTTCATATTGCTATGAATATATCAGTATAATAAGTTGAAATTATCACGATAAACGCCAGAATAGTATAAATAGTAATATTAGTAGTATCTACAAAATATTCAAAACGAACATGATAAAAATTTATTGATAATAGTAACGGTAATTATTATACACTTTAAAAATAGTTACAAAATTCACACCTATTCCCAGGCATGATTAAATCAATACGAAAAAGAATGTAATGTCAAAAAACAAGGATACACTATTTGAAAAAGCGTGATTCATATTTTATTTCAATTGAACATTTGTCTCAAACATTTTAATCATGTAAAGCAGAAGGAATACATGATCATAGATGATAAAATTTTTGAGTACTGAGTTGTTATCAGAACTCCAATAATAATTATCAGCTTTTTAAGTTCAAAGTTATCTTTAGTAAGTAGTGTAAGATTAACATAAGCGCATTAGGTAAATGGCATAATTACAATGTCATTTGCGTCTTGAAATTATAAATATTGTGTAGGATCGTTGTATCATATTTAACTAAACAGGGAAGTTTACTAAGTATACTCAATGAAAACGGTAATGATGCACTTACAAATATTCCCATTCAACAGCTAATTTTAAATGATGCTCTAACTAATGATATCATTTTTTTCAAGGAGAACTGCATTGAACTTTAAAACCTGTTTTCGATAACATAAATAAATGGGGATAAGTAAAACTAATAAGTAAACATTTTATTATTTTTTTTCCTTTAAATATTTTAGTCATATTTCCCAAGTGAAAACAAACAGATTAAACAAAATCCTAATTCATCTTTATCACCTATATGGAAACGTAAATCAAATACATTACAATCAATGATTAAGGATAAAATTCACCTCGTTGAAGAACAAAACTATTCAAAATCAATCCAAATAACTAAATTCAAAGAAGGTGGTTGTAGCAAAAGAGAAGATAAAGAAGATGATGTAGTAGGGAGAAAAGGGAAACATTTAATTAATAAAGATCAATATGAAAATACTACTACTACTACTACTACCAAGAATGATAATAATCATGACAGAGTACTAAATTCCTGTCTACTTTTAAATGATTCAATTAAACAACAAGATATTTGTACGGCCTGTACACTAAATTGGCAATTTTATTTATCCCAACCTTGTTGTTATACATTTATAGATGATATGGTTAAATGTTATCATGATGTGAATAATTCTTGGTATTTTGTGAAACATGATTGTTTTCTAAATTCTATTACTCAACTGTTTAGACCTGATAGTTGTTTCAATTGTCGTAAACATATTTATGCTGTAGGCGTAAATTTATTTAATAGGTAAGTTCGTAAGAATAATAATTTGGTACAAACTCATTAACAAACTGTGCTTCAATAATTTTAATTTCAATCCAGATGGAAACAAAATTCTGAATTTGTCAATGATTGTAGAGACAAGAAACTTTTAATTTGGATGTGCAGTTGATTAGCATTCATTAGAATTCTGAACCTCCTATTTCATTCGTCATACTGATATTATTAGTAGTTAGGATTGGAATTAGACGGCAGCTGATATCAAAGACTGAAATTTGATTAGTCTTTGGTGACATATGCTCATGCTTTGCGAATTACCTCAATAGAACCATTTTGTTACAAGTTTAACAGAATAGATATATTTTGGTTTGAAGTAAAATCCAGGACGCTCGTTTTTTTCCCTTTGTAACTCATCAGCTAGAACTACGTCCATCCCAATGTTGATATTCACACTGAAACTCTAACTCACGATCTTAAATTTCAGATACCAACACGTTATCCTCCTCATTGGATGTGCCTACACCAACAAAGATGTCAACATTAAAAAGCAGGTATATCTGACTGACGAGCCCTGTGTATGACAAATCATGTGTCTTAGACTTCCACTCTGGTCACAATTGATCTGCTCTGTAAAACATCATATTACTATTTCACTTAATCGATAGTGCAGTTTTCTTCGCAAATGTTTTTTTTCAAATGGATGAATAGATGCTTGATTGTGTTATTATTTATTTATTTATTTTAACACATAGATATTGGCACAAGAAGGCACCAAATACATATGCGCCACACAAATCTCATTCGATATGTGTGAGGGCTGTGATACTGCCCGGGTGCCCAAACCGAAGCAGGTGGTTTTCTTAGGAGGCCACTCCCCGAACCTTCGACCTGAAGGTCTGATCCATAAGGCAGTGTGGTATCGTAAAGAGATGCAGTCCCGTGGTAGCCGGTGACCAACAATTGGTTCATACGCCATTTGTTCCTTCAGGATACTGGAGCTTATGTGCACTATTTGTTTGGAATCCGGTTAAAGCTCAGGACATTCGCTTTTCGTCCTCTCATTTTCGTAAACAACACCCGTGGTGCGAGAAGGCAGTGAGTAGGACTTCCCTGGCAGAGTCTATATACGCATGGTCATGTGAGAGCATTTCGAGAGGGAGAGCGAATTCTCCCCACTCTCGGCCATACCACGGCATTTGGGGGCTTGATTGTGTATAAAAATCTAATTCATTAGTAATCTATCAAAACATCTGGTAAAGGGAATGGTTGATGTAATTTACTTATATTGCATCCATATGACAAGCCATCATATTTTTGAGATAATTTGTAGAAAATGTTTCATATCGTTTTCGTTACCATTACTTTCATAAACACGTCATTTAACCTTATTAGAAAATAAGCTGTTTGAAATTTCCTCCAAAACGTAAATCTATTTTGCACTGACATATGATTATACGCCTTTGTAGGTGTCATTACCAAGGTTTGATTTGATAATTTCGAATAAATTGAGCATTGGGTTGATTGTTATAAATAAAAGTAATATATTTGTAATATCCCAATGAGTAGAAAATTGGATTTTCTGACGTTTCGTGGCTTAGTGTAAGTCACTTCTTCAGAGAATAAATAACCAAATTAAAATTTTAATTTGGTTATTTATTCTCTGAAGAAGTGACTTACACTAAGCCACGAAACGTCAGAAAATCCAATTTTCTACTCATTGGGATATTACAAATATATTACTTTTATTTATGATTATACGCCTTGTTTACAATAATATGCACTTCAGTTGCTGTGGACTTCTGTAGTTCAAATAAAATTTAAAACAACAGACATTACATACCAAGTAATGACTAACTCGTTTAACTCATTGAAGGTTGATCATCTACTCTTAAGTATAACAATTTTAAAAATCAGTTATCTAGTAATTAAAATCCAAACGATTTAAACTCTGTTTCCGTTTCATAGTTCTTTCATTAAGTTATTTTCCGACTATTTGAGCCCTTCATCGATTGATTACATCGGTGCTAAACTGTTTTACTGGTCTCTGATAAATATTTGACTACTCTAGAAGCTTTCTAGCGTAAGATTATAGTATATCTTCCACTCATATCTACGTAAGGCGTCGTGCCAAAGAGCATAGATTTTGTGTCTGCAAGGAGAGGTGTTAACTTTGATAGACGTATCGCTTATCGGTTTTTGTTATGGTCTCTTTCGACGTACGTAATATGAACTCAGGCTATTTTGTTTTTTGGCTGACTTTAACATTGACTTTTCTGCAGTCTTGATCGTTAATCATTCATTTATACCTCTCAAATGTAGTTGTGTTAATGTTTGCTTGCAAACAATGAATTATTTAAGTCGTGAAATTATAATGTTTTTTGTTCTAAATTTAGAGAGTCTTTTCCAAACTGTTTCACAGATTAATTTCACGTTATATATATGCATGTTATTTCTTTCTGTAGAAATCCATTGAGAGGTCTAAAATATTTGGCAAGACATAATTTCTTAAACTTGTCTTCTAGTAAACAAATTTCCAAATTTATTCAAAATAATGCTGACTTATGTCGTTCGAAAATTGGAGCATTTCTTGGTCTACCTCCTACAGATGAGATCAACCCAACGGAAGTTACAATGTAAGTTCTTCAAATTTTGATGCCAAGTTTTTATTATACTCAAACATTATAAGAGCTAGTGGTTAAATAATCTAATCAAAAATTAGCACTTCATTAACAACTCTTATTTACCAATAAATTCTTGGTCAGTTTTATTCAAGAAAATTTAATTAGAATGACCTTGACTAGTCAGCTTAAGTACTAGAAGTTAAAAACTAGTAAGGGAGAATGCATTTGTAGTGTTCTACTAAACAGGGTATTTTGTCAGTATTGAATATAATGGCTGTAGTGCAATTATCGCGACTTATAATTGGAGTGACATGGCTGGTACTGTACTGGTACTTACTATTTGACTTCCTTTAGATACTGAGCCTTGAAATCATGTCTTACTTTATTTCTCATGGATTCATTCTTTCTTCTCGATTCATAGAATCTATACTTTGTCTATTCTACTACTATTGATAGTGTTAATACTTACATCACTGTAACATTCTTCTCGATGCATTCATCCAACTATGCTGATATATATGATTTCACGTTGCTTATGACCGACTGGTTGATTAAATAGACGAACATTTCGTCATTATTATTAGCCTTTTGTTTTATTTTTTGAATGCCAAACAAGTGATCGAATTCGTATCCCTCATTAGTTGATACTTTTTGAAGTAAATTTGTAGAATTGGTTTTACAAGTCTCCTGAACTCCTGATAGTTTTATTGATTTTTGGTGTTAGATTGTAATCAGGTAGCCAAACTGTAGCTTAGGTAGACAGTGTTTCGACAAAACGAAACTAGATCTAACTGATAGGTCTATTACGTAATTTCAATGAACTTAACTGCGTAATAAATAACCTATTTACCAGGCATTAACACAGATATGATCAATGGCTTATAGAACCTTTGGCAGTTGACATCTTTCGTCTTCGAGTAATTTGATGAAAATTCGTCTCAAATTTTAAAAACACTTCTGGATTCTTTTCAAATTATCTACTGCGTGGATATGCGTCAGTTGAAATATATATATATATATATATATATATATATATATATATATATATATATTCTGAAAATAATTATATAATAAGGACCAGCTTACTTGTATGATTAAAAATGCAATAAAAATACTTTTTAAAGTAAGTGAACTGTAAATGAAATTTTACGATTAGTAAACTTTTAATTGTTATCATAGTATACACCGTAATAGTCATTAGTTTTATAAGTACGGGGTAGTTATCTTAGTTGGTAATGTAAGAATAATATATCCGTACTAAGAAACTGATAGATGTTGTATAGGACTTAGAATTTAACAATATGTGTTTTCTTAAAGACAGGAGTATAATGTTTGTTAAGTTACATGTTGGTATCATCAAAATGTAGCTGGCAAATTTTTATACACCTCAGTTTAACAGATTATCCTTTTCTCAATCCATCCACTTGTATTGTTGTATCATGAGGTGATATTTAACACTTACACTTGTGATCCACTTGAAAGTTTGTAGTTAAACAAACATCTGTTAATATTTACATCTTATTACCCTTCATATCCAAAAATAAGGTATTTATAGTATACTCAATATTGTTCAAATATAATTTAACTTTTAAGTACTGACTTCAATATGTTATAGTTATTGACTGTAAGAAACAATGTGTTATAATGTTCATTTATCAGCATCTACTAATTTTGGCGTATAAATACTAAGCTGAACTTTACTGTGCAATCTAATAATGACTAATTAAAGGCACTCAAAAAATATATTAATCGAAACTTCTGATTTATTATCAGTAATCTGTAAACAACAATTACAGTTTCGATAAAATCGCAGTTATATTACAAAAACGGAAAGTATTAAATCAAACTATTGATCTGACCGTCTGATTTGGTTCTTGCTTCTATTAAGCTTTCTAGATTACTCGAAATTTTACGTCTTTCAACACCAATGATATATTTTTGTCTAGAATTTTGTTGGTAATATCATTTTGTAACTACATTTTTAACGCCTATTTGAAATCTTCGAGTATAATTGGGAAAAATTATTAATATTTAATTCACATAAAACCTGGAACAAAAGATATTATGAGCCACAGGAAAAATATTTGCATGTTAGCTGGGATAAATATTTGAGCCCTCGAACTGAAAAAAGTTATTTTCTTAAGGGCCATTTCCAGAGTCATCGGCCTTGAGTTCTGATCTACAAGACAGTAGAGCAATGTTCGTGGATGCTGTCATGTGGTACCCGGTAATCGAAATGAATTGATGTGCCACTCGGTCTCCCAGGATTTCGGACATCATTCACATCATTAGTTTGAAATCAGAGCTTACCAACCTCGTCAAAGGGACTCCTCGTATCTATCAACCTGGTTTAAGTGCCAGGTTCTCATTTTTTGTCCTCTCATTTTTATATACAACTTGACACGTAAGTACATTGAAAAAGACTTCCCTTGCAAAAGCAATGGGTATATGGCTATACAAAAGTATTTCGAGCGGGAAAGCGGACTCTCTCTACTTTTAGCCGTACCATGGCATTTGGAAGCTTATTCCATGTGTGTGCTCTCTTAATTAGTCGATTTAATCAACTATTGATTATTTTATCTGACAAGTATATGTGTGACCAGATCGTTCGAGATGCATAGCGCAAATACATTACATTTTTCATATAAACTCCGTCTTCTCATTGTTCTATCGAGATTATTTTATCATTCTCACCCTTAAGTTATTTAATTTTAATCACAAAATTCTCTACGCTTATTCCTCTTTGTTCTCTTTCTCATTTTCTAAAGCAGAAAGTATCCTATTGACCTTTATATATATATATATACTGTATAATAAATAGAAGGCTAGGGGTTGGTCGGACTACTAGTTGGGTTTTCTTTGTTGTTGAAAAGATAACGTTTAATGTTGGCGACTGATTCTCTTTTCTTTTGATTCTATCCTTTATTTACCTCTAAAATAATAGTAACGTTTAAGTCAGTTTAAACTGAGTTGAATGTGTTTATATATATATATATATATATATATATATATATATATATATATATATATATATATATATATAACAGAAACCATACAATTTTAAGGACACTACCAACCCAACTAATTAATTCTCATATGTAAGAAAAACAAAGAGTAATACACTAATATCCATTGACTATCTTATTTTACCCCATTTTTATCGTTTGTTTATTACTCATAGTGAAGTTGTTACCTTTCAATATGTAGTGTTTTTGTTGCATTGAATGATTTTGTTGTTTTTGATGGATGGGACATTTTTATCTCTATATTTTATTTTCTAAGGGACTTCTTTAATTTTGAGCATCATGAAAATGCGTAAATCCTGCATACCTTTTCCTAGAATTGTATTTAATGACTCCTTAATTGTTGTCTTTTAAATTGTCTTTCGTTTTCTGTAATTATGGGAGGAAAATCGCATTTAACCTCATCACTATTTTCATCTGAGGAATTTCAACAAACCCAAATATCAAAACATTTTTGTCTGTTAGTATATAAGGGATATTAGCTGAGTTCTTTGACTCTATTGCATTCACTTTACGTTTGTTGGTCAATAAATGAAATAATGAATAATCTGAGAACAACAAATGGTTTTTGAAGTGGTATTTATTCACATGTAATATAACCAACTTTCACATAGGCAGTCTGTATATGAAAACCCGTTTTAAAGGAACCGGAATATGCTAAATAATTTGATCATTACAAATTGACCAATGCGAATTAATTCAGGTAATTTGATAATTGAAATTTTAATAAGTAGTCAGTGTTATTATCTAGTCCCAAGACTAAATTTATACTGCTAGTGATTATTAGTGTTGTTATCGGGATATAGATGAGATTAAGGCATGTTCCGTGCAGGATTGTGTTAGAGCACGTTGATTCAGTCAGCTGCAACTTAAAACTTGGCACATTTATGCATCGGTCCAAGTTTCCATACCTCATTAGCACAACACGATGCACAACAAATTCATAGAAGTAGTTACTTCCATGGTAGTAAAAAACATTTCATATTAAGATATGATGCAGGGAGAAAGAGTTAGTTCGTAGAAATAAAGATACAAAGTAATTTTAATCTCACAGTTTAGGAAAAAACAAAGAATGTGTACACTTACGCCATTGTGATCGATTTTAAGCCATGTCACCCCGAGTCTCCTACCATTGGTTAAGATAGTCGCACAGACCCCAATCAAGTAGTTTTCATCTACCAATATGGATGACTTTATGGACTGGGCATGCTGGTTGGCTATTTTTATCCAATCTGCGCTAACGGATACTTGAGGATGACTCTAGAATCTACTTATGTAAAAACTATAAACATACTAACGTTTCTCTTATTGTGATTTCTACTTTCATCCTACCATTTTATTTGGAATATAGTGACGTTGCTGTCCAATTGCGTTTGATTTGGGGACTTCTCAAGTGAATTAGTGTCCAAGAATACTAAGCAATAAGAGTAGATGGGTCATAATAAGATAAATTATAACTAATGTCCAATGTTACTAGAATGTGGTCACTTATTTTAATCATTAGTGTGTACTGCTCTTCAGTACCGTGAATAAATATTTTAACAATTTCATTAGTGGGAATTTCTACTTGGTAAGCAGAATATCAAAGTGATTTTACTTGCATAATGTTAAAACTAATCTACCCTTAGAACAATCAATATTATTATATAGGACTTCTTAGCTTCTCAATAGTTGTACTTCAGTTACAAAATCCACAACCCGATTTTGTTGTTTCTCGTCATCAAACTGAATTTTCATAGAATAATTAGTTACATATTTACAGAGAATGTTTGTCAGTGTATCCGGCGTATACAGTCTACCTACAGGAGAAAATTTAAACAAGGATGTTTTTATGTATCGAAATAAATTGATTGGGTAGCAACAATTTTACGGTTAACATGATACACTTAAACCATTTATTCGGTATTTTTAATCCTAATTATTTCGTAAAAAACGCATAATTCTTATGCGATTTAATCGACAAGTTATTGCCCCACTTGAAATTAATTG